TAAATTTTAATAATACTTCTATATGCGAGATATTCTAATCCAAAATGACTATGCGAACGTAACTCTAAGTAACCGTGTTGCAACATGATTTATACCAATTGGGATCCACAGAATTAGGTTGATATCGTATTTTTACGTTACTTCTAAATCCTATATATAAAATTATCGTGTCACAGTGTTAGTGATTATATTCCTTCTAAACGGCTTGACCGATTTTTATGAAATGTTATATACATATTCAGTACGTCTGAGAATCGGCTAATATATATTTTGTAATGCCGCACAGACGGAGTTCTAGGCTAGTGAAGCTAGAGAAATATAATTTTACTAATATTATAAAGGAGAACGTTTAGATGCATGGATGGATGTCTGTTTGAAGGTATCTCCGTAACGACTCAACGTATTTTGCTGAAATTTTGCACAAATGTAGAACATCGTCTGGAAAAACACATAGGCTATCACATAGACATCGCTGCGGGTAACAGCTATTTATTATAAGTCCATCATCGCATTCTTCAGGTATATACTAGAACTATTGGCTAGATTACTTTTTGAAGCAGACATAAAAGAAAGTTTGTAATAACAGTGTACCGATGTGATATCTTCATAGTTTGAGTCTCTCTCCAGACGTCAATATCCATGCAGCGAAACTTTAGCAAATTCAATAACGAACTTGTAAAATTCAGTCCAACTTCTATTTAAGTTTTGCTTTAGTCCTTTGTAATGGCTTTTGTAGTTTCATTACTCGGAAATCCGTGACTCAAATGTGTTATTTTGAAAAGTTATCAATACCTTTTTTAAAGGTTAAATATTTATTGTGCAAGACTTCGCGGGTGTTTCCTATTAGGCCGATGATCCGATAGAATCAATGGTAATTTTCCCTATTCTATGGACTTAATCGGCCCAATGGGAAATGAGGAATATACTGTTGGAGTGATGGTATAAGTTTACTTGTAAAATCTGGGTCTTTGAATATATGTTTTACAATCGTAAAAGTAACCAAAGTATAATAAGGCTTGATACGCAATTTACGACATGAATTTATAATAACTTTACTGTATTTTTGTTATTTGACAAAGGAATTTCTTTATTAAAGAGAAAAAGGAACGCCGCAGGATTGTATGAACGGAATTTGGTTTTAAAGAATTCAAGCTCAGTGGCTTTTAAGGTGAATAACTTCTTGCATTGCATGAAATCAAGAAATAAACTTCGTTTCAAATTATAGTACGACAAACATATTTGGCCTGGCTCAAAAGTCTACCTATAGTAGCTGTTTTTCGGGCCTTCATTCTGACCACTTTCTTAGGATCCATTTCCATCTCCGGAGACCTTATTTTAGTCCTCTTTCCCTTTCTATAATTTTCTTTAAGGATAGGATGGGAAAGGGATTTGACAGGGGAGAGGGCGACATAGGTTGGAGAAATATCCACTTTTGGTGCGTCCTTCATCGATTAAAGGTTGGCAACGCATCTACAATTGGGAAAGCCTTTGGATAGCTGTCGCTTCGTTTACAACAACACAATTAAATGTAGATTAAGAGGCCTTTGTGATTTAATAACCGGGAATAGTATTACAGTACGAGATAAATTATTAAATTGATTTCTTCTGTATTTGATTGTTAGGAAGCGCCATTTTAGAGTCAGCTTTGATAGGTTTCCGTGTGATAAAACTTTATAACAAAAGACGGAAGCAAAACTCAAATACAAGTTGACTGAATTTCATAAGTTTGTTATTGAATTTTCGAAAAGTTTCGCTGCATTGATATCAACGTCTCCTTTGTGTACATTTGCAATATTTTAAATAGAATAGTTTGGTAGGAAATTGAATTTAATTATTAAACCATTTTTGACTATCCAAAACAATTTTTTTGCATAGTTTGATAAGTAAATGTCTTCAAAAAATTAAAAAGATATTCTCTTTATACTGTCATTTTAAGACTGTATACTTTTAATTATTTACTCGTACATAATTTTGTTTAGTATTAGATTGTTATTATTACGTGTGTTTCTCCAACTATAGTCAAACAGCAACTGCCAAAACAGTTGTAAATTAAGGAAAAATTAATACTGGTTAAGTATGATAAGTCTACCCTAAGGGAATATTTAAATTACCATTACAAGACTCTGTGTATGGTAGCAAGTCTACGAGTGCAAAAGAGGTGCTTAATGCAGAGTTAAGATCATGAATTTTCTTTGGAAAGCATCCAAGTCCTTCACATGCACTCATTCAAGTCTCGATTCATATCTGCCGACTGTGTTAATTGCTCTCGCATTTTAAATCTCCAACCTACTTTGCTCGTGTCACACTTTTCATCTTCCTCTACAACGCAAACTATTTGCTTAGTAAAGTATATCTTTTATCTTTAAATGAGCAATTCTTATATATATATACATAATTCCGAAAAAACTTTCAAAAAACTTTCGTAGAGTCTGAATAAATGTAAATAAAGTAGGAATCCTAATTCGCTAAGTGAACACACGACATAGAAGGAAATGAACAGGCCACGGAATAAGGTTAACATGTTAATACTATATTAAGCAGTACTCTGCGGTACGTTTGGATAATTAATTAAAGTAACCAGAGACCAGCGAACACAATGCCTAGTGGAGTGAGGACCGCAAATTGCCCAATTTATCGCATCGACGAATACGCTTGTACGTTCCTGGATCCAAAAAAAAAAGAAACATCGACACGAATAGCAAAAAAACAATCTAACTGTCATTTGTCTTATTTTGAGAGAGACGACAACATTTATAATATTATGATGTAATTTCATTGGTCTGTTAGTTTAACTTAAGAGAATTTTGCATGTGAATTTGATAGTAATATATTTTTATTAAATAAACTAGCTAACGACCGCGACTCCGACCACGCAGAATTAAAACAAATGAAAAAACTTAATAAGTAGTCTATGTGTTCTTCCAGACTATGTTCTACATGTATGCCAAATTTCAGCGAGATCTATGGAGCCTTTACGGAGATACCTTCAAACAAACATCCATCCATCTAAACATTCGCATTTATAATATTAGTAAGACGTAAGATTTGACTGTGATGTTCTTGAGTACAATTTCCTAATATTAAATGTTCAGTATTTTAACCTGGTAGGATAAAGATATTAATCTGTCGGTATTAGGGTATTTGTGATAATCTGTTAGGGAACACAAAAGGCTTCAGCGCACTTCAGTGGTTAGATTTCATGAGATAAACGGTTTCCATTAACGTTATATAGAACTCGATAACACAGGCTACCTTCAAAATTCTAGAATATCGTATATCTAGGTAAATAATTTTAGGGATTTATTTTGTAGATTTTCAAAGGAAATCAGTGGGAATAATCGGATTTGATATTTTGGAATATTACTCAAGACGCGATTTGTCTCATAACTGATTTACCTAACTAAACACTTAACTGAGATTCATACTAATATTGAATAGGCTTCAAATCTACACTATTTTCGAATCACATAGGCTATTTTGATCACTAACATATTGTAGTAGAGCCCGCTTTAAAATCTTCGCACGAATTGGACCGGCTCGCCCGGTGAAATATCACGACCACACAGAAGACAGACGTGAAGTGGAAGCAATTCCGCGTTTTGTCTGATGAGCGTGTGTCCCGGAGGCCTAATTTAGTCCTCTTTCCCTTCCCACCCTTTTGATTTTAAGGGAAGGATGCGAAATGGAAGTGGACTTTCCGGATGAGAGGATCCATGGGAAGGGAAAATATTTTCTCTCTGTGTATCCTCGCCTCCGTCGATTAAAAGTAGGCAACGCATATGCAATTGCATATATCTATGGGCAACGGTCACTTCGCTATTTCAGCGATTTCAGGTGGCCGCTCGCTCGTTTGCCACCTTCTGTTATAGAAAAAAAAAACTAGAATTGTTTTATTCAGCGCAGTGAAACTCGCGGTTATGTTAGTTTGCAATATAATTGTTAAAATGTTGTTCTCCAGGTTTCAGTAGAATTTTATCGAATTTTTAGCCTCAGATATTAGGGCATATGTTTTAGTTGTCTTTGTTATCTATAGATTTGTGAGTTACAATAACGGTTCCGTATACAAGAGAGTTTGAAAGTAACGCTTGTAAGTGACAGGTGACAGATTAATTGCGGCGTCACACCAAGTAATGAACATGGGACGTAATCTAATGTGGAGGGTTGAAAGCTATATTTTAACAAGAGTAATGCGTATGAATTGGGGACAAAGTTATATGAGAACAGACAAGTTTTATGCGAGAGAGAAACAAGCTAGAATGATGCAAAATAATAAAAAACAATTCGTAATTCAAATTGCATCAGTAACTTAGCGAAGAAATGTCATCAAATTCTTGCATGTCTGTTCCCATATTTAGGTTCAAAAGAATTAAATGAAGAATAATTAAATGGAAGTATTAATAAGCAATGATACATCTTCAAACATAATATTTCAGTATGATTAAATCAAAACTTTGGCTCTACAAAAACAATTAAAATAAGAAATTCTTATTTCAGTTCAATGAATAAGCATGTTGTACGTACTTGGAGCTGTTGCTAGTGTCCATAACAAATGTCGCGGGCAACTGCGGCTGCGTGCGGGGCCGGACAAATTGCAGTCGACGCCGGAAACCGGGATGCATTTGTTTCTATCGACGTTTTAACCACACATATATTGTAAGGAACACGATAGTTTCTTAGTGTGAAGGCTAACGCCATTAAGAATGGAAAAGAAATAAATAAATCTTATATATCAAACTCTCGTGTCATAATTTTCGTTCCCATACTCTTTCGAAACGGCTTGACCGATTCTCATGAAATTTTGTGAGCATATTAAGTAGGTCTGAAAATCGGCCAACATCTATCTTTAATCCCACGCGGACAAGTCGCGGGCGACAGCTAATCTACTTATAAATTTGTGTAGTATTGATAAAATTCTTTCACTCGTTTTTTCTATGAAGAGACAATAAAAGACATTACTTACATTCATAATTCACTTAAAATTTTTGTAAAAAGTTTTTGCTTTGATTTATAAACAAACATCCTGTATACACAAGTTATAATACAGTCAAAGCTGGATAAGCGAGAATCCAAAGGATCGAGATATTTTTGTTGCCTATCGATGTTTCTTTGTAATCTGAGTTTCTTGTTTATAGAAGTCATCCGTCGGTACCAGACAATGACTATCGTGTCTTAAGGTTTGTCGTTTATCTGGGTTTGACTATATTAATACAAATTATGTACAATCCTTTTTAATCTTGCTTATCTTGCGTTTTATTCGTTCCGTGTATGCTGCTACGATATTCGTTAACAGTGGTAAAGCTGACGACTTCTCGTCATCTTTGACCCCCACTTCAGCACATAACTCGGCTCTAGTTCGCTTTTCTTTTGGCAGTGCAGCCTCTGAGGTAAGTACAGTGGATGTATAGAGGTAACCGTTCCATTCTAAATATTCTTTTATCAAATCATTAATAAGTAGTACTTCGGCTGTAGGTGGAGGTGGACAGAAGTTACGGCAACCTGGATTGTTTGTGAATTGTCTGTCTTGAAGAATTTCTGTAACTTTGGCTCGCATCTGAAATATTATTAATTTATTTTTTTAAATGTATTCTTCGAGGCTAAAGCTCACGTTTAGAAGTCAATTACAGAAAGAATTTGACATGGTAATGTGGTTAAGTTTTCATTAAATTAAATGTGATATAAATACAGTTTTTTCTAATATTAGCTGTCGCCTACTATTGCGTCCGCGCGGAATTAAAAAACAACATAATTAGTAGCCTTCGTATTCTTCCAATCTTCCATTTGTATGACAAATGTCATCGAAATTCATTCAGTTGTTCTGGAGATACATTCAAATATCCATCTAAACATTCTCATTTATAATATTAGTAAGATTGTTTTTTATAAATTCTTTACCTCAGCCTGTATTTTACTCAAATCGCCACTTTTTCGTAAAACATTTTTTATTGCATCCAAAACATCTTTATCCGTGATGGTTTTATTTTCACTCATTTAAATTAAATATTTATTGTTTATCTATATTTAAAATGTAAATTTATATAATGAAATTCTTTCGTAAATTAATATTTTGTAAGCAGATTCGTGACATAACATTTGAAGTGTCGTTGAGACGTCAAGATAAAAAAATTAAATGAAAAAGTGCTTTTAAATGTTTTCACCAGAGTCATTTTTAATATAAACTTTACATAAATGAAATGTTTTTTTATTTGTATTATATGTTTATGTCGACATAAATAAGCTCTCAGTAAAGTTATATGCAGCAATCACAATTTATCTGATTAAGCTTATTTTTTACTACAAAAAAGGGGCCTTGACAGACAGACGGACGGACAACAAAGTGATCCTACAAGGGTTCCGTTTTTTTCCTTTCGAGGTACGGAACCCCTATACAGTCACACTCAGGTCATATTTAAGTTATTTTACAATATTTTATTATGTACTTCTGAGACCAAGATATACAAAACTTATCATCATTGTCATTATCACAAAACAAAGATAGCAATATGTTAAAGGGGATTTTGGTTTCGGAAACCCATAATTAGTGTTATAATTAGCTATCCAGTTTGAATAGTAGTAGTTTTCCGTCTAGACAGCCATTTAAATATCTATGTTCTGTAAAAAATGACCTTGTGATGGTATCGTTTGTGAACAAAGCCAGATGGGCTGGCCTATCTAATAAAGTTTAATCAGAAAGAGCCCTAGAAGGTCAACCATAAGCCCTTGAATTAAATTATAATTTAAGGTTTCACTTCATGCTAGCACATTTTAAATGCCTTGATTGTAGATCGTACAGTTTTCATTTAAAAATAGGAAATAGAATTTCCTTTTTTTTAAGTACCCGTTTGTTACGTTATGTAATAAAACTCAGTTAAAATTATGTTTAGACACATGTATTAAAATAATTTAATTTAGCATCTCAAGTTATAACCAAGCAAGTAACACCTGTAAAATGCGTAATCTGAGCATCATTACTGTTTTATGTGCGTGTCGGATACGCTTCTAAATTATTTTGTTACTCTTCAAAATGATGAAAATATGTACAGTCAGCTGCATAAATATGTATACATTTACAAAGCTTCAGAAACTTATGTATTTAGTTTTAAAAGTATGTATACACGAATCAGTATTTATGCTTCCATCTCTGAAATTCTTGACGAATACGTGTGTAAGTATTTTCGAAACTTACGGCAGATACAAGTTTCTAAATATTTGTAATTGTATACTTATTTATGCAGATGACTGTACTTTATCATAAAAATATTATAGAACAGTTTTTACTTTGTAAAATACAGTGTACAAAATTTTATTTTATTAATTAATAATTATATTAATTATATTAATTAGTCCACTTTTAAGTTACAATACGATTAATTATTTAATTGGATGTATTAAATATATCAGCTTTACGCTTTGGTAATCAATTTTAGTTCGACTACTTTATGGTCAGTGTGTATAATATGACATAAGGAATATTAAATGGCTTGTAAAGTCCACTCAACCAGATAAGAGAAACTGCTATTCCCGAGTGTATATTGTGTTAATTATTATGTTATGAATTTTTAAACATTATGAATACTTTGACCCAGAAACATGTAGCAGCTAATATTTTAAAGAAAAAAAAAAGTTTTTTAGAATTGGAAATTATTTAAAAAAAAGACTTTATGGCAATTTACGTTTTAGTCAAATTATTTGATAGTATCCGACTTTGTGCAATATTTTTCTCGATACGAGTGTTCATTAACTGTCGTAATTCGAGAAAACTGAGTTGTCTCGTTCATACATTCGAGTACTTTCCTTAAAAAGGGATATGAAGGTTATGCTTCATCTATTACTGTGATGACAAAAATAAATAACCCATCAAACTGACAAAGATACGTCTAAAGGTCAAAGAAAAAAAACCTTCCAATTAGTGATACACGAATAGATGCAGATGTTTTTGAATTATAAAAGAATCAGTTGAGCAGAAACGCTTCGGGACCTGACAAAAAGTTCTTTAAGGTTTTGAACTTTTTCACAAACAGTTAAGCCTTTTGAAATCACTCGAATATGAAAGATTGTTCCACTAGCTTTTAATGAATAATGCTATGTAATTTATCATAAGGATAAGTCTGCGTAGGACGCAAAAAAATATCAGTGGAAATGCGACTTAAGATGACATTTACTTTAAGGTGGTTAATGATGTGAAAATGTTTTTATTTCATCACTTTTATAGCGAAAGTTTTTGCCCTAATTATAGGGTAATGTTTTTAGTGGACATATAGATAAATACGTTTTATTAAAACCATTTAAACCTACGTTGTTAAGTTATATAGAATCGGCGTCTTCCAATACATAATCAACAAGTTGCGCAGTTATTTACAGTTGGTAAGAGGCTGATATATAACATACTAGGCAGGATCCCTCCCATGTTTATGTTATTATTCTGCTGGATGCAAAAGAGCCAATTGTAAACCAGCGCAGGGACTATAAAGACCGTTCCTGCATAGAATGAGCTGGCTTCTTTTGACACTTTTATTTTAATTGTTGTTATAAATCTGTTATATATATTCTCTCGTCTAGTATCTGGTTGGTAAAAAATGTGTTTCTTTCTTAACTGATATATAAACACGGCTAAACACTCACGTATATACGTCCGGTGGCGTCACCGACTAGTTTCGAGCCCATCGGTGGCACTTCATCAGGATGAGTGGTACTGGTATTATTTCGCGGACGCGGCCCGTCGTTCACTATTTGTTTTTGTCTATCGTAAAGTATCTTGTAATACTAGCAGTCGTCTGCGATTCCGTCCGCGCGGAATTAAAAAATATAATTAGTTTGTGTTTTTCCAGACTACGTTCTATATGTAAAACAAATTTCATCGAGATCCGCTTAACCGTTCTGGTGATACCATCAAACAAACATGCATACATCCAAATATTCGCATTTATAATATTAGTATGAACTATGATAATTAGCAAATAATTTCAAGTTCATACTAAGGTTTTAAGGTATGTAAAACCTTAATGGTTATTATCCATTCAACAATACATGTCAAAGGTTATTTGATCGTATAAATCTTTATAAAGGAAGAACGTTTATTGCAAACTCCTGCTGAGTCGAGAGCTTTATTGAGATATGGCACACAAGAGGACAATTCGCTTTCCAACGCTTTCATGTTTATAGAAAATACTTCAAAATTTAAATTAATAACACAACAAAATACAGGATCAAAAACAAAATGTTTCTTTTTTTATGTCTTATCAGAAAACAAACCTAAAATGTCATGTAAACGATGTTAAAGTTTAATTTGAAGTAAGTACAATGATAGTAACAATATATAATTCAAACGTTTCGATGTATCTTTATAAATATCTATTTTCAGTATAAACACGAATCGACGGCGACCCAAAGTGATTTATCAGCATTTTATGAAGCTCTGGCAGATTTCTGAGATACTGTCGCCTTACATTTATGTTATTTTAAGAAAAATAAACTGAACTGTTCGTCTTAATTTAGATCGGATTTTCAAAGGCGCTTTTCATAGCTACATGGTTGAGGTTTTGTTTTCATCAATAAATTGAGTTAATTTTACATTAAGATATACATTTTACATTAACGAAAATAATACGTGAAACAGAAAAAAACACGATGCAACGGACACCCGAGTGCCGCCGACACAACCCGAGGGATAAGTTCAAAGTTGGAACGTTGGGGTTCGTAGCTCAGTTTACGACAGACTACGGTGGAGGTCGGACGTCACAAACGTCTACGGTATATTTCGTGTTTGTTGTGTGAAAGTGGCATGAGTGTTCCATAAACTTTTAGTTACATTTCTTATGGACATGAACATTTTCTTCTCTACGTGTATTTGCAGACAGGTTGGTAGCAACAGTTTTTTTTCTCCGTTATTTTTTTTTGTGTTTCAATGACTGACATTATTTTAATTTATTGTACGAGTAATTTAATTATTTATTTACTTTATTATTGTTTGATAATTTTTGGTTTGGAAAGTTATCTTTAAAATTTTGATGGAGAGAAAAGTATAACTCAAATAAGTTTGTTAATTTCAAATTAACTCTTTGATTTAATTTCAATATAAATGTTAAAATATTATTATCTATCAATAATATGGCAATTATATCACAAATTCGGATCTTAATATTTCATAACCAAAACTAAAATTTAAAAAAAAAACAAGAAACTTTGATGAATGAGGATATAATGGACGAAATGTCGTCTATTAGCTGAATTTTAAAACAACGATTTTCAAAGTTTTGATTTGAACTAAATAAACTCTAATTAAATACAAAACTTTCTTACTTTATAACAAACTCGAAAATATAGAAAAAATCTAAAGCGATGTACAACATAAAGTAACATATGAAATTAAAAAAATAAATAATCATATCATCATAAAAAAATATGATGCTATACGTATGTTTGTTTGTTCGCTACGAGAGAGAAAAGTTTTTGCATTAGTGAACGTTATAACGCTAGATCTCATGCGGTTGCAACGTTTTATTATCAAATATTATTTTTAATGCTTATATCTTTGAACAGTTGTTTTTGTTACAACGACATACATTACAAAGCAAATAATCACTTAAATTTAGTACCACAGAGTTTTCAACGTAGTCTTATCTCCTTTCTTAACCTTGCCCCTCCTATCTTTGTATTCTTTGCTTAATATTCATGCTTAATTGCGGATGATAAGAGATGATAATGAACACATATTGGGAACCTTTCATGTGCCTTTTGTATAAAAATACTGCGACGCCAGCAACAAAATCTTATGACTAGCAACCAGTGATCAGGGCTGTAGAGAAATGAACGTCCTTGCGGCGAATGTTTGGATGGATGGATGTTTGTTTGAAGATATCTCCGGAATGACTGCATGGATCTTGTTGAAATTTGGCGTAGATGTAGAACATAGTCTGGAAGAATGCATAGGCTACTAATTAAGTTTTTTTTTTATAATTCGGCGTAGACGGTGTCGAGGGCGAAAACTACTAAGAGTAAAAATATAATAATTATTAAATTAATTTTTATTGCTTATAAAATTATGACATTCTGTCTTAGCAATATATAAACGCTATCAGTGTGAATCAAAAATTTAATTATGGACAATTAACGTGATGAAACGTAAAGCCCAAGATACAGTGTACTGGAAGTGCATTGTAGACGCCATAGACCCTACTACGGGGACGTATGGCATTAAGTCAAAATGAAACAATTATGACTGCTTTAAACTGCTATTATTATTTTACATGCGATTTCTAGTTGCTTCCATATCAATAGCGATATCAAATCAGTATATCTTATGTAAGTTTGTATGTACAAAAATTATATATTCCCCACATTAGAGATATATCTCATCGAAGGAAATCAATGGAGCCAGTAATGCGGTGTCATTTTCGACTTGGTGCACATTTGTGTCGAATGCTCCCGCCGCTAAAGACTCAGCATAAAATTTTATGTGCCGTACTCAAGTAGCTAGTTAGCACTGAAATCCGTTTAGTGGTTTTCGATATCCGTAGATTTAACAAAGAAATAGTGAAACTTTGTGGCGTTTCATTAAACGTGTCTAATGAATATTGGATGTGTCTCGTTGTAACTTTGGTCTATTTTAAACGACGTTTTGACATCGATTGGTCATTTGATATGATTTTAGAAGCTTAAATAGAATCTGGTTTAAATCATTTCATTTCATAAAGGGAAGATATTGTCTAGTATATAAATATACCACATGTTTAAGATATTAGGCAAATATGTTCCAGACTGACGAGGAGATGCATATGAAATGGAAATATCCTCTTCAAGTGTCACTCCTATGACGATAAAAGCTAACACGTCTTGTCTAAAGGTAGTGGTCGCTTCGCTATTTCGTTGGCCGCTTGCTTGTTTGTCAATTTATAGTACTAAAAACTAATTAAAACTGGCTTAGAGCTTTAAACAAGGACAGTCTAATTTCTTTAGATACTTTAAAGTTAACTTGTGATTTAACGAACTTCAGAGGAAAAAATTATGTAATGCCTGTAATGGATTACTCTTGGTCAAGTTAAAACAGGTAACTTACAATAACATTACTCACGCCCGTAACCCAGAGGTGTAGGCAGAGACCACGGCCTCTATTTGGCACGGTCCTGACACCGGTCCTGACCACATGGCCACACTGACCTGACCACGGTCTCTATACATCAAAAGATAATAATGATATTTAAATATGTAATATTTTTTACCATAACACAATTTTAGCGTCCATTTAATGCTTCGTATACTCATAATAAATGTAAGACGATTATCCTCTCTCAAAGAAATGTAACAAAAACTGCCTCTATTTAGGACAACTAATTACAAGTAAGGAAAGTGGGGGTTTTGTTTACGAAACTTCGACTGTTATAGTGAACGTTTACGAAGATATAATAGTAATTTATAGTTATTTCGTTTTGGTATACTTTGATAGAGGGTCGGTGGTTCAGGAGTTAAGCATTTGACTTGCAATGTGCAGGTCCTGGGTTCGAATCCCGTCATATACCAATGTGTTTTTCGATTTTCGATTTATATATGTACATTTATCCAACGTTCTTACGGTGAAGGAAAACATCGTGATGCAACCTGCACATATCTGCGAATAAATTTAAAGATATGTGTGAAGTCAACCAACCCGCATTGGGCCAGCGTGGTTGACTATGGCCTAAATCACCCCCAACTTAGGGTAGGCTCCGAGCCCCTCGGTGAGGACGTATAGTAAGCTGATGATGATACTTTGATATCTATTTGGGAGAGTTCCAATCGAAACTAATTTACACCATGTTTCAAACAAGCATATTCAGCAAATATTGATCGTAAGTTTTTTGTTTTTAAAAAATTAGTGTAATTGTGTGTTAGTTCTTTTTTTGCTCATAAAAGGTTTCACCAATAGTTTACTCATTCATTTCAAAATAAAGTTAAAATCAATAGAACTGTAGGTGGTATGCGTGGATGTTTTTCTTAGAAAAACTAATACGTCAATATATTTTCATACAGAGAGTCTTAAAGTCAACTAGATAGCACAAGCTTAAAAAGCATTTTTGACAAAGTAAAAAGTAAGGCTTACCTACCTAAAAGTCAAGTTTAATAATGTTGACAAAAATGCTACTAGGCATAAAAAAGTAACTTTAAGTTAAATGATGACATTTAAGTAAGAACTTAACGAAACTTACATAAATAAAATATATTTGCATTTAGCCAACATATTTCTTATCTAATTCCCATTTATGTTGTACTTAAATATATAAATTCATTTATAACAAGCTGTGAGCACGTAACGTGAATTAACCTTACGTTTACAACATGCTATATACTGCAGACTTTGAAAAAAATATGTTAATATCGTTTGAATTTATTTAAAAGCAAACCAAGTTGAATATTCAATAAACGCGACAATATATAACTAGCTGTCGCATGCGACTCCGTACGCGCGAGATTATAAAAAAACTTAATTAGTAACGTGTTCTTTTAGACAATGTTCAAAATCTATGCCAAATCACAGCGAGATGAACGCAACTGTTATGGAGATAGCTCGTAACGAACATCCATACATCCGCTTTTATAACATTAGTAAGATGTATATAATAAAGGGATATACATACGTTTGTCTCGCTCTGGAGAAGCCAAAAGTAGTTCGTACGATTCCGAATTATATCAAAATGAACAAATTTTAGGCTTACCTATCATCGCAATAAGAGAAGTGTTCGCTCAGGTACGCCCTTAGTGTAGATCAGTGGTTCCCAAACTTATTTTGTCTACTGCCCACTTTGAGAATAAATATTTTTTAGCGCCCCCATATTTTCACATAATTAAAAACCACTATAACTTCAAATTAAATTTATTAATTATTGTGACCTATACATGTATATTAACGGAGAATTCTAAACGAAACTTTTAATACAACACGCAACTTGAAACCTGCAGCGCCCACAAGGGGGCGTTATCGTCCACTTTGGGAAAGACTGGTGTAGATGATACTAAGTTACTCCGAGGCTATAAATAATATGTCGAAGTATAATTTAGCTGTATTCAAAATAAGTAGTAACCGGTTAGTTACGTTTTTCTTTACTACTTCTAATCTTGAATGTCTCCGTTATGAATTATTATTCATAAAATTCTTAACGATTAAATGAAGTGCTGGATATAATGAAGGAATGTGTTCGTTTGAGATTTCAATTCCGACGTCGAGGTCGCACGCAATCTCCTCATCAGCTTTCGTTCAATTCGCATCGCTATAAAACTGCAATATTTCATTCTACCCTTCGATATCTAACTTAACAAAAGCTATTATTGCTTGAAAATTCTACTATCATAAAGCGGCTTTCGAAGAAAACTAATCGAGGGAATGTAGAAAATATCACGTTTAATTTTCTTTGATGATTGGTTTTTATTACATAGGAAAATACTTTTCAATATAGATTGAACCTTTTGGTATGTCTATTCTTTTGTAAGGCATCCGTATTCTTTATTTATGACTATTTCTTTCAATTATATAATAGCATCGTTTATTAAATACTTTTTTGGCACAATGCCATGTCCTGACGATTGAATTTCTTTTCTTGCAAGTGATTTTTATAATTATAATGCGGTAAAAAATCACCGACTGGGTATTCAATCTTACTTTACGCCATGGGACAACTAAATGAAAAAAACTATTATAGTAAAAAAAAATATATAATTTTACTAACTTCAAATACCTTGTTAAAAATTTTAGACTCCTAAGAATTAAACGAAATCTTACTTCTAACTGTTAGGAAGAAAATCCGAAAATGAGCCAGTGTATTGACTCAACACTAGCCTTACTAAAATGTCGACGTTTATGTCCCCTCCCTATTCATTCTGATTTTAG